AGGCCCCCAAGTTCCTCTTTCTCTTTCCTCCTCTACCCTTCACCTTCTCCCAACCTCTCCTCTATGTCCGGGCCCACCACCTCCCTAGGTGGCAGCTGCCTATGATGGGGGTGAGTTCGGAGAACAAACCCTGGGTCCCAAGTAACTGCCTCCTCTCGCAGCACATCCCATTCCTCAAATCATAGTAGGGATATTACTACTTCAAGGAACCCCTGCTACCATGCACATTCCTGAAGCCGTTCATTTTTAACACAGAGATGCAAATTAACTTTGCTGAGAGCAGAAGCAGCAGCAGAAAAAGCTCAGGGAGGGGGTCTGGCAAGAGCTACTGACGCAGGGACTGGGCTGCTGGGATGTGAGGGAGGACTGACAAGGGGGTGAGGGGGAAGAGTGGCCAGTGAAGACTAGGCGCTTCTCACGACCAGCCATCCACATGTCAGAACTGTAGGCAGAAGCTGCCAGGTTCTACTCTCTCCAGGACAGAGCCTCATGACGTGGGCTTAAACACATCGGCAGAATGATTAATTCTGGACACATTGGCTGAAGAGTGAGAAAACCCCAGATGTGACTTCCAGCTCTGCCACTAGCATACAGAAACCAAGGGGATCAAGGTCCCCTGTCCTCCAACAGTCCTCCAGTGCTATTCTGCTGGATCTAAATGGCCAAGAATGAAAGACCTGATAAGCCAGGTTTGTGAGCATCCGCTGGCAAGGGCATGGTCACTGCTTCCACTAGCAGACAGGTGGTAGAGGTCCTCCCAGTTACCACAGAGAAGATTTAACAAGTAAAAACCTGCAAACTCTTTATTAAATTCTCCCATTTCATCTGTACAGAAAAAAATGCACATTATGTTCAGAACATATCTCAGTAACATCTCAAAATTACACAGCATGAACATGTAAAAACAAGGGACCGCCAGGATTTTATACATAGAAAGGAAATCCATTTACAAAAGAGGCTTGTTAATTGTACTTTTCTCTTTCTTTCCAAAAAAAAAAAAAAAAAAAAAAAAAAAAAAGAGCCAAAAGGGCCAACAAAAAAAAAAAAAAAAAAAATTATTGTAAAAGCTTT